AGTGACAGCCCCCCCACATACACAGTGCTCTGCCTTAAAACTGGGGTGGAAATAGTAGTCTAACCTCCTTTAGGCTCTGGCAACCATTCTGCAATGAAATATGGATGCAACAACAAAGCAATTATCTATATCACAGAAAAAAATTATTTATTCATTTTGTGTTTTATAGGGAAACAGTGTCACCTTATTCATTAAAAAAAAAAAAAAAAAAAAAAAGAGAGAGAGAGAGAGAGAGCTTTGTTGAAGCAGAAGTTTACAATATATAAAACAAAATACATAATATTCATAAATTAAAATATATTACAAAGTATTTCTTACACGAAGATCACCAAATTTCAACAATGAAACAGCTATCTAAATTCAAAATTTAATAAATATCAACTGATACTTTTCATAATATATTTACATATATCAATTTATCACAGTTTTCATGTTTAGAAAGATCTTAAAGTATCAATATACAACATGACAGATATATATTTCATACTGTTCAAAATATGCTAAAATTATGTTAAAATTCTTATTATGCTAAAATACAGAATTTAAAATTAATCCTGATTTGCTATTCTATATTCTTAGTCTTTTATATGTAATCTTATGCTTTATGACTAAAGTGGGTATAATATCTGTTTTATAGCATATTATCTTATATTTTATCACTAAAGTAGATTTTGGTAATGGATTATACAGAAATAATTAAATATGGCAAAGCATGTTAGGGCTTGGATAGGCAAGAGAAGTCTTCTTGTGAGGCTTTCTAAGGGAAACTTACTCACATGGAAAAAAATCATGAAAGCCCCAGGCAGTTAACCCATTCAATCACCAGAAGAGAATCAACAAATATTTTACAGCTTAAGCAACTTGAACACTGGTTAACAAACGGAATATTGTATCACTTGACTTCACACAGACCTTTCAAAATCTAGGATTTACTTAGATGCAAACATACATACCACAACATCCCAAGGACACAACTTTTCAGTCAGAAATTTATATTTAGTTTACATAATTTAAAATCTCTCATCTTTCTAAAAAACCAAAAATTATATACAATTATATTACCACATAACATGAAACTACTATAACAAGATTTTGCTCTAACACAGTTTAAGGATTAAGTGAAACCAATCTATAACACAGCATACGTGAAACATTATTTCACTGCAATTTGGTTTTAAAAAAATGTCATTACTGATTACCACTAGAAGAACTACGGATATTTCAAAAATCATAGCAATGCATAATATAATTAAAATAAATTACTGTCAAAGCAAAATTAAAAAGAAAAAACAAATAATTGGTAGTTAATAGCTGAACTGGAGTTACATTTTACAAATGAAAATCTTTTCACTAAACGAACATAATTTAAGATCAAACTTAAGAAGTGTTTAGCTGTATAAGATGAAATTTATAAAGGTACTTACTTCATATAAAAGTAAACAATTGAAAACAATCCTCTTTTCGGGCGAAAGGGAAAAAAAAAAAAAAAAAAAAAAAAAAAAAAAAAAAATTCAGTAAAGTCAAGATTTTTCTAAAGAAAACTCATGGAGATATTTTAGTTAAAAAAAAATGCCCTTGTTTAATGGTGATTAGCCCTGATCATAAAGAAACATTATGCAACATCTAATACTTTTAATCCCTAACTGTTTAATAAGCATATTTTTCCATATATAAAATGAAATTTGCATGTATATATATATTAACGGATACTTTTTTAAGAAACTAACCCCCCCCTCCCTTTTTTAAATTCTGTAGTAAAACACAAACCTGGATAACACAGCACGTTTTAGGAATCGAATAATGTATTACAAAAGGATTACCTGTATTTATGGAAACTAAACTCTACATTAGAACTAAAATCATAAGGTAAAAATTCAAAACAGCAGATTACAATATTTTTTTTTTTTTTTTTAAATTTCTGGGAGAATTTGTTAGGCTCCACTTCTGTGACCTTTTTGATATTTTTATCGCACATGAATTATTTACCTAAAAATTAAAATCTAAAAAAATTTTCAATTTAAAAAATTATAAATTTTTGAAGCTGTTGGATTTAAATAACAATTAAATTCTATAAAATAAAATTCTACACGTTCTATTCTCTATTTCTTACTATGCTCTCTTCACATCAGCTATCAGATTGTTCTGATACCCATCCTCTCTTATTGTCATTTTATATAACAATACTTCTCATAATTATTTATTGCTCTTAATTTATACAAAGTTTAGTTTTTATTTTGAAAAAAGTTTTATCAGATTCATGTCAAAGCTACTTATATATAAACATATCTTAATTGATATAATATTATTTTTTAATGGTAATCCCTTCCCCCCTTTCCCTGAAAAAAAACAAAAAAAAAAAAAAAAAAAAAAAAAAAAAAAAAAAAAAAAAGAGACCTCTCATCATCAAAATTTTTATCTGCCCCTACATTAAGATCATATGTCCTTTGATCAGTCAGCAGTATTAATATCATAGATGTTAGATAAATATTACTAGATAAGTTAGATAAATAAAACTTTAGATAAACATTCAATGCTATTAGATAAAATTTTCTAGAGGAAGGCCCATGATAATATTTTGAAATCTTCACACAGTTTTAAAACAGAAGAAAATATGATGTTATGAATTTTTGGTTTCCGGTAATAATCACAATTCACTACAATAACCTAATTCTTGGAGAAAAAATTAGATGTAATTGGAAATCTCTCTTCAGTGGTTTTAATTTTATACACAGTTGTCTTTGAAAGTATTTGTTCACAACGTGTGCAGTGCAATCTACATCATCAACATTTGTTGATAATGCTAGCTGTTAATAACAAAGGGCTCTTTATATCTTGTCAACAAGTTAAAAGCTTGATAGATTTATGAATATCATTTCAAATTTAAATAAAGTAGAAGTTAATCTAATGTTCCAGATAAATCAATTTACTAATATAACTAATTCCAAATTAAGAATAAAGGGATAAAGTATATTAAATTTCAAAAGGACTTTCAGATTTCTCAAATGCATTACAGCCAAAAAATTTAAGCAAAAGCCTTTTAGCAAAAAATGACAGCATTTTCCTAAACTTTACCAGTTCAGGACGAATTTTCCAACACTATTGCAACTTATAATGTTTCCAGAGAGTGGTTTTATAGTAATAGTTGAATAAGATAAATAGGTACTTTTCCGTTTCGCCGGAGCAGGCAAGAAAGTTTTAAAAGATAATAGTTTAAATGCAAGAATTATTTCACTTCATACGAATAGCTTACTCAGAAATTAAAACCACAGTGCTTTACTTCATTAGTGCATTCTCGTTAGAATCGATGAATTTAACCCTTGACTTTACCTTTTCTATATTTTTGCCTTTGGGTGAGCAGTGTGATTGCATCCTAATTGACTTAATTACTGCAAATGTTCTTATGGCATAAAATTTAACTACCTTGTAAAAATTCTATGCAATTATATGCCAGCATTGAAAGACAATCAATCTGATAAGAAATGGCTGCGACTTGTTTTGAAAATGAGGCGTAAAAGGTTACCAACGAAGATATTCTGTTTGACATCAGCTGTACCATTACTGGTGACTTTATTGTTTGCACTGGCAAAACGGAAAAGTACCTTTGTTTTTTATATAAAAACCAAAGAAGATTTGCAAACTATTTCTAATATTTTGGATATTAACGAGGGAAATTATTAAGATTCATTTTTGAAATATGTTGCAATTGACTATAACACTGAGAAAACATATGAAAACATTGACTACAATATTAAAGAAAATGTTAAAAGAGCTGCAGAAATCAAAACTGAGAGTGAAAGTGATATAGAAAAAATTATTATATACCAACCTCAAATGTATCTAGAAAAACACTGCAAACTCTGAGAAGAACTATTAAATTGAAAGGTGAACATCAGTAAAAATACCAGCAATTTTATATACTTGAATATGCAATTGAAAAAATGTTGGCGAACAACATGAAGCAAACATGGCTACGGCAGTTCATTGTTAAAAGCTTAAAATTTCATCAGGCAGTAATTACAAAACTTTTTATAAAATATAATCAAAAAATTATTTTCAAAATTTCATAAATCAGTTGAATTTTAGCATTAATTTTTATTTAATATTTTAGGCATTAATAATTAGATTAACTGTTAGTTACCATCTTACTAAATAAATTCAGACTTGACACCATAATTTTCAATATGCAAATTGCCATGTATTAAACTTAGATGCTTAATAATAAAAGTGATTTTAATAAGCTGCAGGTACTATATAACTAAGAAAAAAACAGTTTTTGAAAAAGTGAACATCCCATCTTTGCCTATTTGTGATCCTGTAATACAAGTATTTTCTGTCCAATTAGAGTTTTTCAAAACAAGTAAACATACCATAGCCTTCAGAAAATATTACAATAAGCACTTTAAAATTTTAAAGTCTATATTATTTTATAGCTATTTCAATAAACACACACTTATTAACAGACTGAAATATCTGAACACATCATCAAGTATACATATATGAAGATTTAATATCTATATTTTTAATAAGACTTGCACAAATTGGAATGTATAGGTTTGCAGCTAGCTGTATATGCTGAATATTAGAAACATGATGCTAAATATTAGAAAGCACTTTCTACAAAGGAAAAGCAGAAAAGAATTATTTACACTCTAAGCTCCACTTTATAAAAATAGTTCCTTTTTTTTAGTTGATTTCTCTTTAAAATAATGCTCTATAATTCTGAAAATAAACTCTCAATAGCTGAGAGTACTGTTGAAGAAATAAAAACATGAATTTCATAATTAACCAAGTCCGATTAACTTTTTATGCAAAAGTTTAAATGCTCGTGGGCTTAATTTTGAAAAAAAAATAGTAAAATTTGGTCTTAGCACTAATTTCAAATGAAGAGCTGCAATCTGACAAAAAGATACTAAATTTGAGATATGCATTAAGGCCGCTCATTTGAAATTAAAGCAAACATATCAGCATTCCTTTTTGATACATCAAAGGTTTATACATGCCTGAGAAGTCAAAGTTGTGAAGTGCTAGTAGATTGTTGCCCAGCAGGTGAAGGAGAAGTTTGATGGGATTTTCCCTGCTTGACAAATATGAATCATTTTCCCTTAGTAAATCCTTCATAATTGCAACACTTATCTCAGATAGACAGCCTCCAAGTACATTGGCATAGTTTATTAATTTTACAATTCTAGTTAGCATGTATCTCACTTTATCTGCCATACATTTATAATTATTTCATATGTGTTCCAATATGTTTCCGAAGTGTATTAGGTCTAGCAAATGTTTTGGCACAAATACTACATTTGTAAGGGCGTTCTCCAGTGTGAATTCTCTAGTGATAATTAAGATTTCCTTTTAGTGCAAAACTTCTACTACATACAGGACATACAAAATGACGTTCTTCAGAGTGAGTCCATATATGTTGTGTTAGATTATCTTTGCATGGAAATTCCTTCTTCACAAATCACAAATATATATATTATTCTTGAAGGGATCAGAATACTGCTGCAAAAGATGTTCTCCAAATACATATGATGTGGTACAACTCAAATGGATTGTCATTTCATCTTCGACACTATATTTCTTAAGGCCTGACAATATTGAAGCTGCAAAAGAAACCACAATACGTTTTACAGTTAACAAATTAAAACACGATTTATCAGATATACACAACAAATAAGTTTCAAATGTCAAATTCTTAAAATATAAAATGTGCAAAAAATAAGGCACTTAAAATATTTTCTATTACACAGTAAATACTTCAACAAAGAAGCTCCAAAAATCTGTATTAAATGTTAAATAACATTTTACAGTTTAGTAATAAAAATGTAAAACACTGAAATCACTAACTCACAGCTTTCATAGAATATAAAGACCACATTTACCACATTTAACTTCAAAACAGTTTATAATAGGTAACTGTCAGAAAAAATAACTAGACTGATTTTCTTTTTTCTTTTTTAAAGAGAAAAAAAAATTTCAAAAATGCTTTTGAATAATTTTGGCCCTTTCAGAACAAATAGTTCAAACAAACTCTAATAAAATTTAATTTCGTTTTGACAGTGAAATATTTTTGAACATCATGAGATATATATGCAACATTTGCATTTATTATTATCCCATTTACATATCTCAGAAAGGCTATTATGACAAGAATTATGCATGTGGCTGAGATGGCATTCTTTAGGTGGACACATCTGCATGTAGACAAATGAAGACCTGAGTACTCTAATGTAGAGTTAGAGATGTGATATTTTGGACTTTGATGAATATTTTCATGCAGTTTCAACAGTGACAACTGAAATAAGGCTTTTAAAAGGAGACCATCCTGCACATAGATTGGTCGTCCTGGTTTTCATAATTAAATTTCACCTAAAGCATGTGGGACTTAAAAATATGTTTCTGTTCTCAAATGCCAGCTGATGCTAATGGAGAGCATTTAACAACCAATTCACTGACTAAATAAGTGATAATTAACTAGTAACTAAATAGCAATACATTATCTGAATAAATATTATGAATCAATTTTAACAATACATTCACCAAACTAAAAATATTTTAGAAAGTGATGTTGCCAATTCAATGTGAAGTTGAAAAATTTTACCACTGTTTAAACCACATTTAATGCAATAATGATTGTTGCTCCCCACTGAGGATGACAGACATCATCTTGAATAATATGACACATTACTGCTGATTCTGCATTTCTATAAGAGGTGAACACGCTTCATAATGAAGTGCTCTACCCATTGAATGGTCACACTGTATTTGCACATAAATTCCTCTTGGGGTTAACTTTGTGATAATAAAAATGCTTCTTATATATGTATTATCATATTGTGCCTCACAATATAGTCATTGAATGTCAAAAAAGCCTTCTGTGGCTGAGGATAAGCAAAAAAATATTCTATGAGCAAAAATAGTGGAAAGAATTTAGGAGTTTAAGGGGCTGAAAATCAATGGCAAAAAGAAGGGATAATTAACTGAGGACATCTTGCGATAAAGGAAGACACAGAAAGCTCAATAAAGGAAGAAAGCAACAGATATTGATTTATAAGATGCCAGAATATCATGATTAAAAGTTGATGTGCATGTTCTTCAATGAGTGTTCATTCAGCATTGGCTAAATGTGGTTATGTTACCATGCATTGGATGCAGTATTCAAAATTTGTATTATTGAAAACTTTTAAGGAACAGAGTCAAAAAGGAAAGATTATATACACATATAGATACTACAAGACGTATTCAAAATGTAAGCCACCAACAGTAACACAAACATCACATCACTGCCAGATTGAAGCAATGTGTCCCAAGAAACCAAGAATGTCAGGGACGTCATCCACTGGATAAAATCTTCAATAAACAGGCAGAGTTCATCTTGTAATGTCAAATAAATGTCAGCTTTCAGATATTAAGCCAATGCATTCAAATCAGAGAAATGGGCAACCATTTGATGAGACCACCGTATCAAACTCATCTAATCTACCATGCTTTTATGTGGGGCAAGAGGAATAAGCTTCGGCATCACCAATACTTGTAAGCAAGAAATAGGTAATCTTCAGTGTTACATAACTCACAAACTATGCAATTTTAATTGAACATGTTTATCTTTAGCCATAAAACGTATTTCTGCAATTTTGAAACTTTATTTTGTGAAATCTTTCATATTTTCCTTACTGACTGAAAAATTTCTAATACAATTTATAACTTTTCCTAAAATTCCTTAAAATAATTCTTTTTTGTTTATTTATTTACTATGCTTTTAATTGATTATTCTTTAGCTTATGGAAACTCACAATTAATTTTGAAACGATGCAATTAAGGAACATTTATTATACACATATTACTCTTCTTTGGACAGAAAAAGGAAATAACCACATTTAAAAGGGAACTATTACAAATTAAAAGTTAGAATTTATCTTACATATTCAGTATCTTAGTATCTTACAGCACATATACACAATATGTGCATATACAAGACAATGAATATATGACATAAAATTTGCATATTAAATTATAATGGCCCTTAAATCTCCTTTTTAAATTGGTTGTTTTCTTCTTTCTACTCTACAGTTTATATAAAAAATGGTAATGACATGTATTTAGATATTGGCAAAATTGAAAATAAATTTGTTTATCCAATGAAATCCAGATGAAACTCTTATTAGCTAATGATAACAAAGTGATGCTTTATCTACTTGCTGAGAAACACAGTAACTATTCTTAAGATCAACTCATAACATTGCAATAATTTATTGGGGCAAAAAGGAGTAAAATGAGTTCAGATATGATATATTCTGGATGGCCAGAGATGACACCAGTTAACTCCAAATTTTTGCCACGTAAGTTTCAGATTGTCCAATTTTTAAATGAATAAGCTTTAAAAAATTCTTCTTGAAGAATATATGAAATCAAATGGAATAATCTTAATAAAAAATTTTCAAATGATAAAAAAATATTTATACTAAGCTAGTACAAAAATAAATTATTTAAAAGAATATTATCACATTTATTAAGAGTAATAAACCATAATTATCAACCATAAAAGAGATATGGTTGATAATGTTTACACAATACTATAAAACTATATTGTTGCGATAAAATAACAATACATTTTGAAATCCTAGATTTTGAATTTTGCTTAAAATCTATACCAATGTAAAGTTGCTTTTACAAGCTCCTGCTGCCTATGGATAAGGTGTTGGCCTCTGAATCCAAACACTGTATGCCAAAATCCGACCAAAGCTGATCATATAACGAAGTTGATATTTTTTTTTAATTACTTACAAAAAAAGTTTATTGCTAGCTTAACAGCAGTACTGATGCTTATTCAATATGCTGAAGATGAAAATTAAAAACCAGTTTTTCACAGGAGATCTGCTAGTGTAAAGGTAACAAACAGGAAAAAAAAAAAAAAAAGTTTTACAGATTGCAGGTTTTGGCCTTGCTTATTTCCTCCTTTTCATACAAATTTGTATCGATTATAACCCTTTTTTTTTTTTTTCCTCAAGCACTTTGCATTCATTTTTCAATAACTACAAACTTGACCTTCCCCTTCTAAGCAGCACTTTGTGCATTATGTCTTATTATAACAAGCCTTTGCACAGCTCACTAGATGATCTGTGTAAAAGCAATTTCGGCTAATATGACAAACTAGCAAAATTGATTTTGGTATTGCTATAAGGTTGCTTTTTATAGCTGACTTAAAAAATTTAGAAAGTTCTTGGTTTTAAACAACTGGTGATGAGTAAGCTATTTGTTTAAAAAAATTAGGAAAACTATTATTTATACAGAAATTAAGCTTGCCAGTACGTGACATTTAAATTAAGACAAAATTCAGTCTTTGATTGATGCTGATTTTATGGAATACTTTGAGACATTTTAATCCTCCATCTTTGTTTTTGTTCATTTTTGAGAAAAATTTTGTAAAAATCAAGCAAAAGTTTAATCTTGATGATAATTTTTCCGTAGTTTAAAGACCACTTATATGGGCATCAGCACATTTACTAATCGATAAATTCAGTTTTCAAACCCAACTGAAAATTGGATTTCACTATTAATAAAAAAAAGTCATTATATAAGACGTAATTACTTCCACGAGTTAAAATACAACTTTTGAGAGTGAATTTTTATTAATACCCAAATGACTAATTGAAGTAATTGCAGTTACATTTTAGGATACGAAATTTGTTTTAACAAAGAGTTTTAAAAAATTTCCCTTCCTGATTATTTTTTTAAATGAAACAACTTGCTTTTTTTTAAGTATGATTTTTAGTAACCCTACAAATCCTTAACACATTATAACAATATATATTATTTTATTGTATTAAATAAACCAATTTTATTCAGGGAAGTAAATGAACAAGGAAAAAATTTAACAGTGGCCAACTCTAAGAAAAACTCACTCTCAAATTGAGATATGCAGAAAAGAATTTTTTAATTATCATTCAACAAAATTCATAAATATAACGAATTAGATACGTACAATGATCCTTTTCTGGGATATCATTTTTCTGTTCTCTAAATGATAATCTTCTGGACTACGCTCACAGAAATTAGTGTTCCGTTTTTGGATGAATGGTTTAATGAGATCTAGAAATTTACCAAACTGATGAGGCGTCAAGTGAAAGAAAGTAATTAAAATCCCTACTGACACTGTTCAAGAGCATCTCCTTAATTAAATTATTTGTATCACTTGACTATAGTCATCAGTTGCATATTAGTCTAATATATCACCTTCTGCTTTTCTTTGTATGTAAAGCAAAAAGTAAAATAAGTGTTGATCTACCAGAAATTTGACCATTTAAATTAAAAACTGTAAACATAGAAAGCCAACATACTGCACAAAAAATGCACATTCGCCCCTCTCCCAAGTTTCTGATATGAAGAGACATCTACTGTGCATATGTCAACTTTTAAAGTGAAAGCTTCCACACTGGTGTAAATTTAGGTGTGTGGATACCATTTTTTTCCCCTTCAGAATTTCCACTTTTCACACCATCAGGCCAGTGTGAATGCCACTTTAATCTTACATCAGTAAAATAATTTTCACTCTTCGATTCCCTGCCACTATCCTGTTGATATAAAATCATCCATATCTCTTTCG